ATGTGGACTCAGATGCTGGGAGCCATGACAACTACTTCGGACGACTTCGGACTAGGTGCGTTCTGCTATCACCCTGACAACAAGACCAAGTTGCTACAACGAGGTCAACCTACTTCTATAAATCAAAATTACTGTCTGCCTTTTTTTCGTTTATAATTAGAGTTTCGAGAATACTGAAATCTGCTTGCCTAAGGGTCCTCAATTCCAGGCCCTGGTTACGCCATATCCGAGGCTTTAGAGCAGATGAGGCTCATTCCCATGTCAATGCCTGGGAATCTTTCTCTCCCTAGGCTTCAGACTTATGAATCTGTTATCCGCTTTCTCATCTTCACTTCTATTGTGTCTCATTCTTTGGGACCCTGTGCCCGGCTTAAGTCATCACCGCTGGTGTGAAAATGTATCGCTTCGCTTTGTCCCCTTAAGATCGCGAAAAGCCCACTCCCCTCGTCCTTCAACTTGACACTCCCATCTAAGCCTAGGGCAGTAGGATGTCCTGAGTGTGTGTATTGCCCGATATCCCCGTGGTCAAGCTCGTCACCAGTCCCCTCCCACACGAAAAATGCACACTTGTACACACCCACACACACACACTGGTGAGCTACATCTGGCCCACCCATACATTTAGCCTATAATTTATTACCCCACATTTCACAGATGGACCATACGAGTTAATTTTTAGCCGATAGAGCAGATTTTCTTATTCCTTTTTCGATCTTCCGTGCAATGGTCTATTTTATGAACTGAAGCTCAGCCCCATAAGTCTGTCCTACTGTTTAAAAATTACCCTTGATCCTTCACATATGCTCCAAGCCAAGCACTGTGTTGTTATTTATTGAAAGACTCGTTCTAAAGACATCTTTGTTCAGAACATGGAGACGGACTTCCCTTAGAACCCCATGGCTAAAAGAGCTCAGCCCAGTTGTCGAGGCAACTTGAATCAAGACAAGCGAAAAAGAACTACTCTGCTCTTCATGACATATTCCTGTAGGTCTAAGCTGTGTTCTACTTGAGTCGTCCAGGTCACAGGTTCACTTAACTGTTGGAGATGGCGGGTTATATTACGCCTACCAGATGGTATCAGCTACAGATTCGGCTTGCCATGGCTACGGCCTATAGATGCTGATCTGTTTAGCTAGAATGTAGGAGTGTAGTGATACATCTGTATGTACAGATGTATAGATAAATGTGAACATATGCTTGCGAGTATCTGGTTTCCATTACATTTATCTTCGTTAACGCATATGCATACATCTCATATATGCATACTAGCCTACGTGTTTGTGAGTATGTACATGTATCTATTTGCATGTCTGTTTGATAGGCGCGAATTCAGAGCCTTGAGACATAGTCACTCATTCACACACAAAATTAGACCCGACTATGTAGACGACATTTACTTGCCTGTATGGGTGACGAAAGGATAAAAGACTTCAGTATAAAGTATGAGCACAGGTTGAGGAAAAAGCAGGTCATATGCTCCTATGTGCACCAACTTGTGTGTTTGTCTGTGTGTGTGTGTGTGTGTGTGTGTGTAGAGGTGGTATTGTGTGGAGCATGCTCACACACGCACAAGCGTAAAGGTAGTTGAAGCCGGTCTTTAAGCGAGAAATACCGATAAATTGGAACCCCCATTCTTGTGGAGCCAATGTCCGAGAGTCTACAAGCCTGCCTCAGCAGCTTTTTATAGCCAACCCTCAATCTGAAGCAAGAGCACTGAGGCAAGTTTACTAACTCTCCACTGGCTACCCAGGGTTCCATCTTGGCGTTCACCCTGGCCTGCTTGTGCAGGCTCCAACTTGTACACGTGTGCACCTCACTTCTCTACTCCTCTCTCTCTCTCTCTATTTCTTTCTTTCTTTCTTTCTCAGTTTCTCTCTTTCTCTCTTTCTCTCTTTCCCTTTGCTTGTCCGCATGCACATCTGTGTGCCCGTCTATCTGTATGTCTGTCTGTCTGTGTGTGTATGTGTGTATGTGAGTCGATAGCTATACCCCTGAGACAAGAATTGTCATTCATCTTGGCACGTTTTCCGACTAATCTCACCGCTAAACATGCAGGATTTGACGTTTCCGGACTCGGTTCAGCGTCATTCACTCGAACAGGCACTCGTAAAGATCATGGTCAACGCTAAGGGTCGTTGGTTCCGGACACAATGCAACAACAGACAGCAGTTCACACGTACACACATACACAGAGGCCCACATAATCACAGTAACTCATAAACTTTCTCTCACTCGCTCATCCGCATACATACACAGATGCCCACACACACACACACACACACACACACACTCATATGCATAGACAGCTAACGAGTGCATAAATGGTTATTCATATAAAACATTGTAAAACGATATCAACCGCTAGTCTATTGGCTGAAGCGACTTGCAGAAGACCAGAAAAAGCGCGAAACTAGCTGCCGTCCAGCATTCCCTTTGGCACTCCCACGGACCACCGTTTAACTTGGCATCTGTGAGCTAACTGAGCTTAGACATGGCGGAACGAAAGGCGACCATCAAGAATGCCGACATGACGGAGGACATGCAGCAGGATGCCGTCGAGTGTGCAGTAGCGGCAATGGAGAAGTTCAACATCGAGAAGGACATAGCCTCCTACATCAAGAAGGAATTCGACAAGAAGTACAACCCCACTTGGCACTGCATAGTTGGGCGTAATTTCGGCAGGTAAGAATGGGTACTATTTTGTGCGCCCAAGAGCAAACAGTTCCCGAATTCACGCACGAATTCAACCTTTTATCTTTTCCTATTTCCCGTCTTTAGGATTGCCATTCGAGGCGTTAGGGCTTAGATTGTACCGATTAGGTGAGCCCAAAACTGATCCTCGAATACAGGCTTGAGAAACGACTCCTCATTTTCATGATACTACTAACATATTATATAATTATTTTTCTACGTTCTGTTCGGTATTAAAGACTCAGAACTGGGCAGAGGGCAATCTGGTTCATTTTGCGGTGGCAGTTGAAGCCGTCGGATGACTAGATTCCCTATCTTCTTCTAGCCTCATTCGTTGTCAGTTTGGGCAATTAGGTTCTTTAGCCAAAACTTTGCATACCAACCTCCATACGTGATAACTCCTAAGAGTAGTCCCATTGGCGGGTCTGAATCATACAGTTTAACATCTTGAGGGCAGATGCTGCCATAACTCATTTCGGCTTCTCCTTAATTTACCAATTGGAGTTCCACCTCATTGGCGTGGTAACCAAACAATTGTTGTTGGGCGCGATTTCAAAAAACACACCTTAAACTGCCATTGTTGCCATGTCTTCTTCCAGCATTATACAGGTGACCGGGTGCATTTTAAGGCGCTTTACCGGCACGGTAGTCGACATCTTCAGTAGGAAGCTAGTCACTTTAACCATTTGTGGCTCAGGCCCAAGGATGGCGCTTCTTCCTGACGAGGTCGACAATGATGCCGGCGAAAGATCTGGGACTCTATCCAGTCAACGATCTGTTTCTGCAAAACTCACCAGACTATCCATGAAATCACGACTAAGTTGAGATTACGAAATCGAATCAACCCTATACTTTAACTGAAGACTGAAATGGTACCAAAGACCACCGCCACCTTTACATTCAAGAAATCATGTCGTGATTAGCCGAAGAGATTCGTAAGCTTGTTTTCATCGAGGCACGGAAGTGGAGGTTACTGGCAATTCTATGATTGAACTTGACTGAATGGTCCTGATGAGATCGAACTTGTGTACAACCATGTCAAAACGTCTCCACGATGCGTGGATGATCCAAAGGCAGAAAGTGTAAACTAAAAGTCTGATCAACTTTGGCTCAGCCCAACATTTTTAGCTGACAATTTCTGTCTCAAAGTGAACAATGTCAGTCTGATAAGTATTCCTTCGGCAAGTGTGCCACGTTGAGCTCAGGCCGTAACACATTGTGACGGATCCACTCGAGCAGATGCTCAGAATCGGCATACCAATACAACTTGATGATTCGTGGAAAACTCCACTTGCCAAACTTCCCAAACGGAATGGAAGACTGATAAGTAGCTTCGTAAACAACCGCTACTTAGTGAAGTAGTTAGTATCTCAACGCCTTAAACAATCAAGCATAGGACATGCCCCACAAAACAAGCTTGTGAAATGCATAAATTGGTACTAAAGTTGTAAAAATATGTGTTATAATCCTAAAGAAGCGTTTACAGTAAAGCATTTTGTATGCAAAACTGTGTCATGGTTGGGGGAAACTTCATAGTCAGTCTAGATGGTCTCTAGTATGCCCAAAGCCCCAGCCTGCAAAACATGTTGAGGTCTATCAGGTCTTTTATGTCCAGACGTTACCACCCCAATTAAGATAGGCCAAGAGTTTGCGAGACCCCGGCAAGGATGCAATCAGGCTTGCGCCACCTCCTCATCCTCTTCATTTGGGTCCCGAGTTCTGGAAGAGATTCTTTGGACAATAGATCAGCAATGAGCATTTTGCAGAAAATCACACAATCCTGGTCTTTTGCACAAGCATGTGCATGCTGGAAGTTCATGAATGACACTGAGAGTGGTCTCTTTCGTGTGTTTCTGATTACCAGATGCCTGAGTCAAGTGCATTATTTTTGTTTACTTTTGTAGCTATGTAACGCACGAGACGAAGCACTTTATCTACTTCTATCTTGGACAGGTCGCTGTACTCCTGTTCAAGTCCGGCTAAGAAAAAAAGTATTAAAAATGCGACTTTATTTGTTGCTGGTATCCTTACCAGCATTCCTTCTGGTTGTTCTTCCAAGCTGAGCACGGAGAGCTGTAAATTACAACAATCATACACGAATAACAAATCATAACTGATGACACACAGGCACACAAATATACATACAGATGGACAAACAGAGAGGCAAGCGGGTAAAAGCAGTGAATAGACGACAGGAAGCAGGAGACAGAAAACGGGCTACATGGCTTCCTTCCCTTTCGCTATTCTGCCAAGCATACCCTCTTTTCTGACAGTCTCGACAAACCACATAATCCGATCCTGACTTGCCAAATCCACGGCTCTCTGTTCGTCCATTCCACCCATCCACTTACCATTCTCTGCAACACTTGCCTTTTTTGTAAGACACTCGAATTCTTTCATCTCGGACAGGCGAGTTTGGTGTGTGGACCAAACACAATTGTCTCAGAACTCAAGGCTAAATGCTCTCATCGGCGCTTCACAATTTTCTAAAAATAAATATGACGTATCTTCCTGCCTTAGTGTCTTTCGTTCTCGCCTATAGGCCGAATCATGGGTTAAGATACGAAATTGAGGCCCATTAATGTCGAGCTGGATAAGAAGAAAATTAACTTTTTTATTCATCTCTTGAGTCACAGGGATTTATCTCACCTCTAGTTTCGGCGAGTGTATCAAGTGAAGAGATTTTCGTAGGTCGAGTTCGCCAGAAGCTGATGCCCGATTCCTGTTAGCCAGCTGTCGTTTGGATATGCTAGAACGCTCTGGTTGAAGCAGTCCTCGAAAAACGCTCGACGAGCAAGCAAAGATGTTGATAAGCCTCGAAAGAGCGAGTATTAGACATATACGAAACCTACAAAGTCTCAGCCACACATTCTTTCTATTGAAGAGGCTAAGCCTAAAAGATGCCGTCTAACTCACAGAGTCCTCGTGTATCTAAAGTTTAATTTTGGGCCATTTTGTACCTTCTCCAAAGAAGAAGTAAGAGCTCGAGTCAGCATAGTTCTAGGAAGATGATGCACAGACATTGAAATGTCGAGATGGCCTCGGGATTCTAGTAATTCACACCAAATCATGCCACCCAAAAGGCCTTCTCCTCACGACTGGACTGCAGATTCGACTTCACTTCACCATCCCATCAGCAGCCCCAACGGGATTTTAAACAATGCCATCAATCAGATGTGTCTTTCAGAGTGAACCAGGCTTCTGCTATTTCGCATTGTCATAGTGAATCAAGCATTACTATCTATCAAGTAAGTAGGCTTGAATGTATGACTAGATGTTTTATTAGAGCTCGAGTCAGACTAGGGCGTTTAGAATGGTTTGAAAGTCGTCCAAATGATAACGGATTTAAGTCTGCCTTGAAGAGAAGATGGGTTTCCAAGACTACCATAATAAATTGATACTGGCGTACTTTTCATTTCGTTTAAGAAGTCGCGTTGAAAGGATTCGTAGATTCGCCTCACCGGATACCACAGGAGGGTTGTCTTGGACGTTTGTCTGTTGAACTGTTCGAATAAACTATCGGCTCATCGTCCGTCTGCAAAGGTTTATGGATTCAGAAATCGGAAGTGGATTAACATGTATTCGCTACAGGACACCAGATAGAGTGGTATAAATCCCAACGTTTTGCCGGATATGGGGACTTTACAACTAAATGGAAGATCAGGGAGTCGATTGAAATTAACAACACAAAGAACATCCTGAATAAGAGGAATAAA